GCTGGCAGAAACGCTTCAGGAGGCCCGAGGCCAGGGCAGCATGCGGAAGGGAGCAATACGCTTTCTGCAGTATAATTTTTAAAATTTAAAGTCACCGTATATTTTGATCCCACCACATATGTTAAAAAAAAGGACTATTTCGTAATCGCCTCCTTTTTGTTAAGAAGCACACTACTTCCTGCTGACATCTTCACAAATATGTTTTCCTCTGTCTTCTAAGAAGTCCTAAATGTTTTTAATTTAGTTGATTATAGGTTAAATTGCCGACAAAGGCCCTGGACTTGCTAGGAGAAACTCTGAGAGGCAATTAATGCGTATGCTGCCACGAAATACTGGATTTGATACTTCAGTGTGAAGAGTACTTACAATTAGTCCCAAGCTAGCAAGAAACATAGCTCCAAAACGCACTAAGGTCATATTTTAGCACCCTAAATGTTTTCCCCCTGTCTGCTGAGAAGAGGAAAATACCACCACATGGTAACAACTGTTGATAATGGTGCGCTGGGCAGGGTGTCCAATGTCGCCGGTCAGTGTCCTCGCAGCCCCTTGCCCTCCTGGCGTCTGGGGGAACACACCGGCGAGGGGTCCTTGCAGCACACACTTGACTGGGAGGAGCGGGAGGAGGGGCGTCGCCTCGGGTCCCCGAGTCCCTGAAGGCCCGGGCCTTTCCTGTCTAGCTAGAAGGGCAGTCAGGACAAGCAGCAGCAAGGACGGAGGTGGAACAAGGGAAGCTTAAGGAGGGCTGCAGACTCGGGGTGCAGGCTGGAGGCACGTGTGCCTCCCAGGAGCCCGGCCCCGCAGAGCTTCTGCCCACAGAGCTGTGGGAGACGAAGCCTTGTGAGTGACCCTGCTGAACAGTCGGCGACCATCGGCTAAGCAGCAGGAGTGCGCTCAAAGGTCCAGCGTGCAGGCTCCTGATTTGTAGGATGTTTTACGATACAATCCGCCAAACAGGTGAATTTTATGCGCTAGCTGGGGAGTAGAAATCTAGTCTCAATGAACTATTTAGTTTAATTTTGCTCTTTATTTATAAAGTGAAAAATAGATGATGGGAAACAGAGTTCAATCTTCTTCAAAGGAGAAGGGACCGAGAGATGGGGGTGGAGAGAGGGTGTGGAAAAAGAAAGGAAGGTGAGCTCTGTGCACTGGCCAACTGCCCAGCAGGCACGTGCACCATCAGGCCGCAGGCCCGGAAGGAGAAAGAGCAACATATTCATGCATAAAAACAAAAAACAAAAAACAAAAAACCAAACTGCTAGGAAACCACAGTGGGTGGACTGTGATTCCAGTCCCCTGGAGGCTGAGGGAGGAGGAGGGCAAGTTCACCCCAGTCGTGGCGGCTTAATGATTCAGGAAGAACCTGTCTGTCATTAATGGGGGGGGGAGAGAGAGAGAGAGAGACAGAGACAGAGACAGAGACAGAGACAGAGACAGACAGAAAGAGACAGAGACAGAGAGACAGAGACAGAGTGAGACAGAGAGAGACAGAGAAACAGACAAAGACAGAGAGAGAGATAGACAGAGCACTCAAGCAAGCAGAGAATGTTGATTAGTGCAAAGGCCCTGGGTTTATTCCCCAGTACTGAAAAAAAAGGTGTTACTCAGAAAAGATTAAAAATGTAAGTAAAAACATAATCTTTTAATAAAAATATCTATGACTGAGGCTGGGAGTTAGCTCTGTGGCTTAAGTGCCTGCAGGGCAAGCACAACGACCTGACTTGGATCCCCAGTACCACAGGCTGCGCTGGCCCTGGACCCCAAGCCTGCCACTGAAACTGGGCATGGAGGCGTACGCCTGTGATCCCAGCACTGGGGAGGCTGAGACAAGAAGATCTCTGTGAGTCCGAATTGCGTAGCAACACCCTGTATAGAAAAAATAAATTAAAAAAATAGAACAAAAAATCTATGACAAGTCAAATAAATATTTTTAAAAAGTGATAGTTGAAATATAGTTTTCAAATCTTGCGTCTCCTGGCTCGTCCCCTCTTTGCCCGAGAGCTACTCTCAGTGCTGCTCTTTCCTTCTCCCTGAGCCCTGATCCTGTCTCCTCTGTCCCCTGCGCCCGGCCCCTCCTTCCCCATTTTTCTGTTGATTTCTATTTGTTTCTGGAATTGGACATGCCATAGATGCTACATTAATGCTTGTCAGATGTAAACAATGAATTGCTTAAGACATAAAACCAAACGATCCTTGAGATCTTTTTTTATAGCACCCAAACCACCACAAAGCATGTGTAGATATACACATCAGGATCTACACCTCCGTGTCTGTCTCTAAGAGCTCCCACGACCCGGTAGCCAGTCCTGCCTTGAAGCCTCTGCTCTTCTCCAGCAACACAAGTTATCTTTTTGGAAAACATACAAAATCACAGCATTATCACGTTGAGGAGCACCCAACAGCTTGCTGCTTGTCCTAGTGTGACAGCCAAAACTCACACCATTGTCCTTTCCACCATGCCCACCCTGACACTCACTCAGACCACGCTGTCTCCAGGTACGGCGCCCGCAGTTCAGAACACCACTGTGTAGTTCTAGTGTGCACCCAGCCTTGTGCACCACACGCAGCCCTCTGGTCACGTGCTTTAGTGCTGTCCACTTGTCCCATCTCATTTCAAAGTTTATCTTTTCAGTGAGACCACCTCAGTCTCTTCTGATCATCTTTCATCATCCAGATTAGATCCAGATCATGTCATAGGCCTTCCAGGACCACTCAGTTCTCTCCTAGGTCACTGATCAGTTTGAAACTGTAAAGGATATCCTAGCACTAGTGTTTCACCAAGATTGGAGGTGCAAAGTCATTTTGAGTGGTTTGGTCTTCGTCATGGAAATCTCTGAAATGATTTCTTATGTGAGCAGAAGATGGCAAGGGTGTAACAAATCTCTGCATCGCTCTCTTAATGTACAACACAGATGTAGTTTATTATAGAGACTGCAGGGTGTCTTCAGAGAGGAGATAGAAGAATATATCAATTCACCAGCAAAAGCAACAGTCCACATGCAATGTGGAAAAAGGGGGTTGCTGAATCATTTCATCACCGGAAATGATGTCATCTGCCTTAACAGGAAGATGA